TCCACAGGAAATATAAAAGCTTCACAACCAAGAGTCCCTAGTCCTGGAATAGAACATAGCAGGAATTCAAATGTTTGTTGAATGGAAAAAATCATGTTGTTAGAAAACAGCAGTTTTCTAACTCAAATTATAAATTCTTAGCTACCTATGGTCAGGGCAAGAAATCTTATCCTGATGAATACACTCTGTTCATCATAGTAATAAATGATGGCCTCTTCCGGCACTGAAGAGTTTTATATATCATCTTCTATTTTCAATGAGCCTGAGGGAACATAAGGTGAAGGATCATTTGATTCAATCAACAAATATTTATTGAACAATCACTCTGTGTCAGGTGCTGTACCAGGCACTGAGGAATACAAGAATAAATCGGTCAGTCCTGCTCTCAAGGAGCTTACAGTCTATCATAAGAACTTACAGCACTTTAGAACCTAGTGAGGACACATTCTCAGTGTCTAATATACAATATGGAATACTCTTCAATTTCCTAAAAATGTGAATCTAAAATTTACCAGAAAGCATAGTTTGGAAATGGAAAGTGAAGTAAAACAGAAAAGAAAATTCACTTAATTTTTTACAGTTAAAAACCATGGATTATGAAAATGGAAGAAATAACATAGGAAATGGAAATATTTTAAAGACTTTGGGCCAGATTTAAATTTTAATATTATCTCAATATTTCTGGGTAGCATTTTAAGGTGGAACTTATATATAGAACATATATGTATGTAAGATGTGTTTCTCTGAGCTTTTGCTACAACCCATATTTCTATAATTAACTTACTAACTAAAAGTGACATAAAGGTAAAAATTTGAGGCTTTCTTTTGTTAGTAACTTCCATGATCATATGAATGAAAGAAATTCTTAGGACATCATTTCGAATCACCTTTAGCTTATAAATTTTGGCACAACCTTATTTTGTAAGGAGACTAATCTGTGGTTTTTTTTTAACAGTGTGTGATAATTTGAGCATATATATTAATGGTTCTTAATAAAACTTAATGGCATCGAAAATACTCTTAAGTCTGGATTTTTTTTTCTAACTTTATTTCCCTCCTGCACTTTTACTTGTTTTCCAAAACTGAAAAAGCTTTGTGCAAATACAGAGCCATTTTTGTTGCTTTGCTGTTCTTTGGTAAACTGCTTGTTTGTTTCATTTAGCAGCATCCTTACTTGCAGTATTTTACTTAGTTGCAACTGAAAAACCACCACCTGAGGTTTGAACTAGGAATTTTTACTATCCAGCAGGTTGCTGTGAGCTCTTAAGAAAAATCTTAAGCAACTGAAAGAGCTGTGCCAAAGCCTGTGCCCCTGGGGCCTGGCCAGCTCTCACTGTAGACTCAACAGCTTAGGCCTCCAATGTCCCAGCTCATCATAGACCAACATAGCACATCAGAAGGAAGTGAGGAGCCTGCCACAGCAGACATACTGGTTATGTGGCAGGAGCCAGAACAAACTACTTGCAGATATATGAAAAATAAAAAGACAAAACAGCAATCTGGGACAAATGGTTGCACATACCTCAGGGCTGAGAGAATCACTTTGTAGTAACTGATGATTAAAAACTACTCACATTTGTTATAGCCCTTTATATTTTATGAAGTGTTTCACATACATCAGAGTTCACTGGATATTGGTAATAACACATTAGTAATACAGCTTTAACTTTTATCATGAAAAAGTTAATGGTAGCTGAACATGCTGTTTAAGAAGGCAAGGAGGTATACTATCTGTAAGACTTTCATAAAAAATAATTACAAGGTTTAAATTTGGCACTTAGAGATATGTATTAGTTATCAAAAATTCATATACATACTTTCTGTCATGAACAGAAGGTGTTACTGAATGAATTTTCACAGGACTCAATGACTACTGGTTATTAAATGGGGATGATTGTCAGCAGTAAGTTGACTATTTCCTGTGTTAAACATAAGCTAATAGATGTCAATATGCCATATATGATGACTAATATGGAAAACAATAAACTTCTGAAGGGTTCTCAGAGGGGTTGCCCTTATACTTTCTAGAGACAAAACTTCTAATAATGATATCATATCTTTGTCCTAGGCTTGACAAAGGAGTGGGGACATGTGATTTATCTTTCCTTGTTTATTTTCCTAAAATTTGTCATACTGCCTCTATTCAGGGTGGTAACAAAGAGGAAAAAAACAAAATAAGTGAGAAATGACAAAATATGATGTACTTGTATGCTTTGTAGAAAAGACTACACCTATTTTTTAAGATTTTGAAATAAAGTTCTCTTTAGCCACTTCATTTTTACAAATGAAAATGTGGGGCCCCTGTATATTTGATTTTCTTAACTCACTTAACAGAGCATTACATAAATATACTGTCCTACATAAAGCCCTTAAAAACAGAATAATTTATAAAAAAAAAACAAACCCAAAACCCAACCTAAGCTATTTTTTAATGTACCAATTGTGAATGAAAATGACAGGATAAAATTTTGAGTAAAGAATACAAGGTTAGATGTTTATACTCTAAGTAAAACAGGACCCTGAAATGTTGTTACTTCCCTCAGTAGTAAATCTGTGATTAATATCCTTGGATGACTTTGATCATGACCACATTCAAGAAAGAGAAACTTTAATATTTTGCTAAGTTTGCAGGCTGTTAATTTTTCATTTTCACCTGGGTGACCTTTACACAAGACTTGCTATCCTCTATTTTTCTTCTGTGTTTTACAAGTACTTCTCCTGTTTGAGATTTTTTTTAGGTACGCGTGGACTATGTGTACATTTTGCAGTTTCGTGTAGTCTCATGGAAGCTGTCAGTATTGTAAATGCGCTCTTACATGGTGCAGAAGGCAAGCCAGCTTTGTAAAAGCTTTGTTTGAGAGGATGTGAAACAAGCAAAAGGCCAATTTTCCATTCCTTTCAAACAAAAGGGCCAAAAGAGTTAGGATGAGGTCCAAACCCCAGTGACCTCTGTGACTAAGGCAAGTCATTTAACTTTAACTGTTTCCTTTACAGTTCATTCAGGCTCATTCCACCTACCTTTAAAGTTTTTGTGTAGGTAAGGTGTGCACATTTCCTGCCACATGGTAGGTACTCTCTGATGATTTAAGAATTGCTGGGTCAATCTAGCTAGACAACATGTTGGCCCAGTATCTGACATAGATCTCTTTCCAAAAGGGATGAAATGTATAGGCCCTCCTTTTAAATATCAATACTTAGTAGCTTATTTTTAATGATACTATTGAGTGAAGTTCCCTCCCAAAGTTTCCTTTAAATGTGTGTGACAATGTGTGTTTACATTTTTCAAGTTATGGACACCCTGGATCTTTACTGGGCTTTTTGGTAATTTTTTGATGATGGAAAATCTCTATTCTTTCAACATCAGTGGTGAAATGATACAATTAAAAAAAAATCTTTCCTAGAACCAACATTATGCCAAGTAAGATATAACTTACATGAACATGTATGTAAATGGCTGTCCCAGTAGGACCTACAAAGAAATGTCATTTTTATTAATGGATTTGGGCTGCTTAAAAATTTGTGTAAGACTTACAATATTTTTTATGGCTGAAATTCTCAACATCAAATACGCCTTCATTTTTCAATCTACTGGCCAGTGTAAGAGGATTCAAAATAACAGAACTTAAGGACAGAATAAGTCATTTACAGTTAGCATAATACAGTAGAAATTGCCCTGAGCAAGGAATTAGAAGACTTGAAGTTCTGGCTCTGCCACTAACTTTCCAGGATGACCTTGGGCAAAACATTTCTCTCATCTGTCAAATGGTAGGACTGATCTCATTAACTTTAAAATTGTTTTAATTGACTTAAAACAATAAAAAAAGCTTCTGGGAGTTAGTTGTGTTAAGCACCACATGGTATAGAAGGACTGTCTGAAGGTAGTGTTTTTCAAACTACAGTCTAAGGACTACCTGAAGAAAGACTTTTTAGGGTACATATTCCTGTCATCTCCAAGGTTAGTCAGAATCTCCTAGTGGGGGGGCCAAGGTTTCTACATTTTTCAGAAGTTCTTCACTGTTTTTTATGCACCCTAATGTCTGAGAATAATTTGCTCTAAGAGCATGTGATTAAAGTAAGAAAGGCTAGAGTGTTTTAAATGACTCCAGAAAATTCCTTTTACACACGATGTCAGTAAATGTGGAAGGGACCGAGGAAAGTGGTTTCTTTCTGCAGAGTAGTCAACCTTGTGCTTGACTCCTGCATAATGCTTTTTAACTTCCTGTTTTCCATAACAAAACCTCAAAAAAATCTTCCTATCAGAACTTAGTCTTAACATCCAGTCAGCTAATGACATCAGCTTGAAAGGAGGATGGCAGTTCTCCCTTCACTAGTAACAAGATAGCTGAGGAGCTTCTATCACCTGGCTCAAAGAAGAAAGACAAGTAACATACAATCTGTTTATACTCCTGCTTCTCCTTTGATCCCAATAATATGTCATCCTGTGTGAGTCAAATGTGACCAGAAATAAATAACAAAATAAATACCATTACACTACACTCATCGTTGGTCAGATATTGTACTGACCAATAAAAATATCCTCTTCTGTACAACAGAAATGACCAGCATCCATTCTCCTCTTCTTTCCTTTCTAATGTTAACAGAAACAGATTGCTCTAAGAGCAGATAAGAGAGATTTTTAAGTTCATACAAGTAAAATAAATTACAAAGAGATGTGGTGATATATTTTCTAAAGTTTCACAATGAATAAAATCCTTCACTATGAAAAATTTGTATAATTTTAACAGGAAAAGTAAAAGACTATCTAACAGTCATGAGAATAATACCATTATCTGTGCTCATTAAAGAGAAATATAACAGCAACTTTAAGAAGCCAAGTATATTGATACATGAAAACGAAATTTGTTTCAATGACCAATATGCTAACATCAGACTTCTGGGTTTTATTCACTGCTGGTGTCACAGGTTCTCCTATACCAATCCAAAACTCCTGCCAAATGCCCATAAGATTCACATTTTTTAAAAAGAGAGAGAAAAGGAGAAAGAAATTTGACAAGAGCTGCCATGCAAAAATAACCAAAGGAATGAAGTTCAGAAGTACAAGCTCAGCAGGTGCAGAGGAATGCTGGAAACGATGCTGCTGCATAGAGTCTGAACCGCGGAGATGCCTGTGTGATGCTGGACACCCAAGCACTCAGGTCACAAGTGTGTTAATGGACCCATAAGAACCAGGATCTCTACCCAAACTTATAAGATCTTCTAAAAAGACAGTACTTCACCTAAATTGAAGTAATTCAGTAATCAAACACCAGAAGAGTTCCTTATTTGATGTAAGCTGTGCCTAAAACTTTGGCTGATATAAAGAAACTCGCCCACTAAGGCACCCTGAGGCAATCTGACAATGTGTAGGAGAGAACTTTGTTGTCAGTACCACGTCATTATGGGAGTACAAAGAACGAATCACTCGAAGGGGACTGGCTTCATTGGGCAAACAGTCAACAAGTTCACTGCATTGTTTGTCGAATCCCAACAAGCGGATCCCGTAGCCATGAGGGGAAGAAATCATTCGCCCATCAGGGCTGAAGCAAAGTTCTTTGATATAACCCCTGCCTACATTGGCTTCTTCGATGTAATGCGTCAGTCGTAGTGAACAACGAGGAGAGACAGGTCGCACCGGAGCACCTTCCTGGAATTCATAGACACACGTCCACTACAGGAAGAGATTAGAGACAAAAGTTATAGAGCCCCAAATAACACTACAAAGATTCCCTATTTCTTTTTTTTTTTTTTAAAGATTCCCTATTTCTTATAGGCTCAACATAACACAAAAGTCACAAAATAGTGGCAAGAAATCATCCAGATAAATGCTACTCCCTTCCAACAAACTGAATTTCATAAGCCTCGGACCTTCTAGTCTTTACAAACCAAAGCTATTCTGTCTTTGACACTTCAAAGCCTTTTGTTCCTGAACGCTCTGTGACTTCTGCAGTAATAGAAAACATTTCTTTTTCTAAGAGCAACAATCTTGATATTTTAAAAATGTCTAGGGACCATCCAAAGCCCTAGGATACCTCTCACTCTACATACTTCAAAGGCTTGTCTCTCCTTTGATTTATAGCCTCTACATGTAGCCAGTGAGACCCTAAGAAGACTCCTGCTTTCCAGAGTGATAAGAATCATATGGTCATTTAAGACCTTTCCCCCTCATCATCTGTCCAGTCTCTTTCTTACCCAGAGCTTCCCCTTGTTTTTAAAAACAGAAAATTATAATATTAAATTTGCTAAGCAAAGTCTCATATTTAGCCAGCTTAATTAACTGAGATGTCTTGGTCCTGCATTTACTGTATGAGGATTTTTTTAGTGTGAGATTAAAGAGGCAAGTATTAATAAGGTGGGCACAAACTGAGCTGATGATGCTTTTAAAGAATCTCCCAGTTTGCCGCACATAGGTAGAGTGGGGAAGAGTTCACAGGGGATAAAGATACCATTAAACAATAGAGGTGGGCAAGTTCAGAAGTAGAATCTCTGACTGTGTGCTCGAGGCCAGGGACTGTGTCAGTTTCTCACTTGCAGGTCAGCACACATGACAATAATAATCTGTCCACTTAGCCTTGTTGAAAGTGGAGCTGTGCTGCTCATACCTCTTGATCATCAGTGTTGCTTGAGCACCGAAGAAGAGTGGCCCAACCTTTTGGGTGCAGCTGTAAGGATGTGATACAGTTTCCACGGTCTCGCTCGCCAGGTACTTCAGGGGTTAAGACTTCAAGACTATTTCGTGGTGAAACTCCTAAGAGAAAAGAAAATAAGGTTGTGGGATTTGTACTATCAAAAGAATAAAGCAGTTCATCAATGCTTTTATTTCTGGCAGCCACCTCCCATACCTTCTTGTCTTAGTCTGCCCCTTACACTACCACAGGTAAAAGAATAATATAACCCCCTCAATATATAGGTATATGTGTAGTTAGGGTAAGAGCATGGGGAAAGTGTAAGACTAGACTCAAAGAATCTTACAGAAACTAAAGAACTAAAGATACTATAGCAGAAATCACCAATGACTAAAGGCAAAAGTATGAAAGCTGACTAGGAGTCCTTTTGATTTGGGTCTGTACCTCAGAAAGCTCATTTCTCTCCATTAAGAGACATTTCTTGAAAGGAATCTATGAAGGGGAAATCGAGAAAGCAAAGGGTCTTGAAAAGGGCCTAGAAAAGTAAAAGATACTCATTCTCATTCTAGAGCAAACAGTGCTCTCTACTCCAAAGAAAGACTTCGAAGCCATGAGAATATCTTTAAAGAAATAAACAAACAGCAATTATGTATGTAAAAAGCAATACTTCTTATGCATCTGAGGACAGGGCTATAAATAATAGGCCTGGAGCTCTGGAGATAGAAAAGGATACTTCAAATAGAGGCATGTCAAAACAAGAGGTGGGAGATAACGCAAACCATACATATATCTGGTGACTCTGCTAAGCCTCAAAATTTCCTTCTGTCCAGCCCCCAATGAAAAGGATTGCTGTTATAAGCCAGTACTAAGAATGAGAGTATATTATCTGGCTCAATGTGTAGAGATTCACATACATATACAATGTAAAGAAGCAGCTTAGGAGTCTAATACCAAGAGAAATATTTCATTGCTTCTCTGCCTGTAAAAGGAATTGCTCTGAAAAGAAAGGAGCCCTTTCTGTCACACCCTAAGTGAATTGTTTCTTGGGCAGATATACTACCTTCTTTTTAAAGGTTCCCTTTACATTGCAGAAACAGTAAAAGAACCTGTGAATCTCTAAATTATACTGTTAAAATGCAATCTATAACCAAGTAACAATTTCACATGTTATTGAACTTCAATAATTTCAAAGAAAAATTCCCATTTCAAGAATTAGTTTGAAAAACAAAAGCAAAAGCAGAAAAGAACCCCATTCTAATAGTTAAGGTTTTCTCCCTGTGCTCCTTGGAGAGTCTTCAGGAGCTGACAAAAGGGGTAACCAAGATTTAGCAAGAATGGAAATGAGCTGTGGAAAAGCCAAGAGTCAAACTCAAACCTATGGTCTTTGCATGGATTCCAACTCATAGTCACACTAAAAGACAGAGGAGAACTCTCTCACAGAGTTCCCAGAATACACATTTTATAAGAGCAGACTACTGCTTCTTTTTCTCAAGGAGCAACCTGTGGGTCTGAACCACAGATCTTCTGGTTAATAATTGAACCTTAACCGAATAAGCTACCAAGGATACTAGGACTCCCTGATTTCACCTGAACTAAAACAGCTCCACTCTTATTTTGCTAATTCCCTAGGAATCTACAGCAGATTTTACTTCAAAAATAATGTTCTAATTTTGAATTGAATTACAACATTGCCAAAGGGTGGTAGTGACATGACTTCTGAAGACACAGAATTTCTAACATTCAGATCGATTTCACCTATAAGCCCACTTCCCAACCTTCATCCTCTCTTTCCACCCTCTGATTTTCTTCTTTTCTCTGTTCAATCTCCCCATACATCATCTCTTCCCCCATTCCCAACTCTCTATAGCATGAAACTGCCATATATTTGTGTTTACCATTGGTCAACAACAAGCAAGCATCTTAACTATTCCTTTCTTCTTAAATTAAGTTTCTTTTTCTTGTGGATGGCTTAATCAATAAAGATTTTTTTCTCAATGATTATTAGGAGCCCTTGTTTCCCATGGCCAAAGTAGAAGGTGAAGAACCTGCAAAAGAAGTTTCTGCTACAAATCAAAGGAGAAATGTTACACTTCTAGGCAAAAAACTTGATACTTAAGGGGAAAAGTCTTTAACCTTAAAGTGAAACATCACATGACAGTCTTCAACATTCAGAGGAAAATAGATAGGCCATAGGTTAATAAGGGCTCTCAAACTAGTCTATGGGTATAAGCAGCCATGCAAAACAATCAATTATGCATTTACTGAGTACCTACCAGGTGAGGCAACTCAGAAAAAACAAATTCAAAATCTTTAAGAAATCATCCCTGCTTGTGCTCGCTTCGGCAACACATGTAGTAAAATTGGAACGATAGAAATCGTCCCTGCTCAAAGATTAGACAGGAAACTTAGGGGGCAGTAAGTGGATGTTAATGGGGAAAAAACAACTCAGAAAAGGAGGGTGAGAAAGGATTATAGAACACTTGAAGAATGCAATCACTACCACTGACTCATACATGTAAACTGGTACACTGGTCTGTGTTCTGCTGTATATATTCTCTACAACAAAAACAAACTATAAAAGAAATCATCCTTGCCCCAACTATTGAGGTAAGAGACACTGGTCTCCAAAACATGATTCAAAATAGAAAAACACCCTGGCTATCAATACTCAATTCACAATTATGAGGACAAACAACAATGCTCGAAGAGCTTCTGTGTAGATTAGCATGCAGAGGGAAGACAGATGGCGTTTGCACAGACAGATGTTAGGCAGGACAGGCTGGGCAGCTAGTTCTACCAGAGTGGCTGGAATAAACTGGCAGAAGCAAAGTGGGGTCAGGCCGTAGCTCATTTTATTTTGTAACCCCTGGGAAGCTGTGAGGAATTGCATAGATAGAGAAATAGCAGAGCGGAAAGCCTAAAGATAATAATCAGGAAACTTTCAAAGATCTGATAAACTCAACCCTTTATATTTCTAAAGCACATTCATGCATAATCTTATTTCATTTTTATAACATTGATTTGAATCTACATTTCCCAACTACTTCCTCTCCAAACTACACCAAACTAAACCAAGTCCAGGTAGTAAAATCAAAGCTCAAATTCCAACAAAATAGCTAAGCCCAAAATATCAATTCCTGGAGACTTTGGTTTATGCTTTGAAAATGATGGATGAGGGGCAAGCAATAACCTCACTGCTACCAACATTTATTGTCATGGATTAAAACCAAACTAAAGAAAGCTATTTGGTAGCATTCCTAGTTGTAAAGATTAAAAAATCCGATTTTTAACCTACCTTCTCTTTGAGAGGCTCGGGACATGTGTTTCTCAGAAGGCGAGTTAGAATCACTAAGATGACAAGGTGAACCAGAAACTCTAGGACCAGATGAACTTGACGAAGTAGTCAAATCTTGAAAACATAAAAAGTTCTAAGATAAACCTGGCATAACTCTGGTTTGTAGTCTCTTGACTTTTTAATTACCTACTTGAACCATGTATTTAAAATTCACCTGAATCATGGTAAGTACCTGCTCACATAAAGCTGGAACAAGGAGGCAACGCAGCTCTTTGAAGTGTCCTAACGGTCAAGTTCTTTTCTAAAATCTTTCATACCAAAAATTTACTTATGTGGAAAAACAAATGGGAAAAGAAAAATATAGGAGCTCTCTGGTTCTCCATTATTTCTGTAGTGAAAGGGAACCAAAAAATTAAACAAAAAATCTGAGCTGTTTATTAGCCTGCTGTTTTATGTTAGTGTCCAAACAAGCCCATTATAGAGAACATGAATAGTTAGCTCCTTCCTAAAGCTTACTGAAAATTTCTATTGTCATTCTTGAAATGATGTAAACACTATCTTTGAAATAAAATAACAAATAGCTGAGTTTGATATAACATTCCAAATAGCAAAATTCATGACATCACATTTTTCTTTTTCTTTTTTTTTTTTTTTTGACATCACATTTTTCTAATGGCTCCACAAATCTGTGGGGAATTCTTACTAATAGCCTTTAAAAGACTGAAAACTTGTTTTTTCAAAGAGGGCCAACTAAATTTTCCAAGTCTCCATTTCTCGCTATGTTAACATTTATTGTCAGTGTTTAATCTCAGAAAGAGAAAAATAGGCATTTCTAAGTTTAGGATAACTGTATATGAGTATTTATGAAATCATTTGCTCTCAAATAATTTGGTAAAATATCAATTTCTACTTTCATATTTTTAAAAAAACTGGGTAACTGCTATAGTACTTCCCACATATTCCCAAAGAAGTCTCCAGATGTAGCCCCCTGCACACAAAAGAAAGATTATTATTCAACAATATTATGCTGCCTTTTTTGCAATTTATGAACACAGTGTTTTCAAAAGGTTCAATTTTTTTCTAGGTTTCTATTCATTATTACAATATTATAAATGATAGAAATGTTCTCAGATCAGCCATCTTAAAGACTAAAGGATAGCTTAAATACAGCCTCTTTAGTACATAATATAGATTAAATGTAGTATTAAGTTCTTCTGAGCTCCAAGTTCACCTAGACTGAAAGAATAAGCAGCAGAAGCCTTTAGCAAAAGGTTAGAAGGGTAGCAATTATTTTGAAAATGCTTATAAAGATTATTTTGAAAGCGTTTAGCAAATAGCCAAAAGGAAGTAAGAGGTAGAAGTTTTTCCTGTTCATTTATGATGCAGAGGCACAAAATAATGTAGTGTCTGAGACACATACAGGTCACTGTACTTATAAAGAAAAGAGCTATGACTGCATTTACCAAAGAATCTCTTCATTTCCTTCCTTTCTCACATTGTTCTCAGAATGGAAATATATCCTATCCCTATGTCTGAGTCTTTAGAAAATGTTTTTCAAAAGAAGAAAGATAATCCTTACCTGAACTTGATGTCGTTCTTCTTGCTCTTAAAATAGGATAGCTGCCTACTTCTAATGACTTGGTTAAATCAAGATCATGCAAAATTAAGAGATATCCAGAGGAAGTTGAAATCAACATTTTAGAACAATCTGGTGTTAATCTCATTCGCATGAGAAAACGTGTGTGAAAGAATTTCTTTGGTGGACACCCATCTTCTGTACACCTATAAATGACAATGATCATAATTATAATGGTTTCATGAAAGGCATATATTTGCCCCTTAAACAGTAATTTACAAAGTGTATTTATACACCTAACAATTTTTTTTCTCCACCATTCCTCTGCCATCTCCAACTTTCCCTTTTTAGATGATTCCCTTTCATTCGGAAATATCTTTCTTATTGCTCTCCAGTCAGTTCTAACCTTCTAGGGGTTTTCCCAGGTTGTATACCACATGGGAGGAAAATTGTCCATCTTTTCCCCCTGGAACCAATGGTGGATTTGGGCCGCCAAAGACACACAGCCTTTGGGTTATACAGACTACACTACCAGAGTGCTCATCCTTAAGTGTACCCCTCAAAATTTAAGGAAGATTTCTTTTTTTTTTTAAGTAAGACTTCTTAAACTCCTCCTTTACTGTTCTGAAATAGCATAATTTCATTCTTCTTTATGAATACAGGTTTAGCAGAGTATCTATCATTAGGTTCATAGTTATTTCCTTTTGTAGATTGAGGATAATATTCTGCCGAGTTCTGGACATTTAAGTCTTCTATCAGTCTACAATCACTTTGGATAATTTATCCATTCCTGCAACTGGTTTAAGATCTTACTTTGTCCTTGAAGTGGAGTAGTTTCACTCGGATGGGTTTTAGATTTTAAAATTTATTTATTGTTGCAGTTTACTGCCTCTGAAAATCCACTGAAAGGTCAACTAAGAGTTCTGACTGGAATGTACATAACAACAACAAGGTAACTGATGACTAGTCATGTGGAACACTTTTTTTATGTGCTTTTAGTCATTTCTTTCACCTTTAGTGAAATGTGTATTCATGTCTTCTAGCAATCTTTAACTGGGTTATTATAATTGAGTTCTAAAAGTCTTCTACATATTTTAGATACAATGCCTTTATCAGAAATATTTTACAAATACTTTCTCTTTGGAGCTTTTCACTTTCTTAATATCTTCTGAGGTAAAACAGTTAATTCTAATGTAGTCTAATTTACCTTTTTTTTTCTTTTACCATTTATGCTTTTGGTGTTACAGCTAGAAATCCTTGGCCAATTCAAGGTTATATTAAGATTTACTTCCATGTTTGAGAAATTATATTGTTTTACTTCTTATTCTTAGTTCAAAATCCATTTTTAATTAATTTTCATGCTTCTTTGTGAAATAAGAGCCTAATCTTTTTGCAACCAGTTAGATAGCCAATTATCCAAGTACCACTTATTTAAAAAAAAAAAAGACTATCCTTTCCCCACAGAATTAACTTGCCACTGTTGTAGAACATCAGCTAATCATAAATATCTCAACTCAAAACTCACTGTTGAATCAGACCTGACTCATAGATCAGCTGCCCAGTGGGTTTTCAGAGGTTGTTATCCATCGTTTTCCTGTAGAGTCATTCGTGGATTCAAACTGCCAGAGAGGCACTGCCTTTGAGTTAGCAGCACAACTACCCACAGATGAGGACACCAGAGCCCCCTAATCATAAATTTTTAAAAGAGAACAAAGGGAACTCTGGTGGCCTAGTGGCAAGAAGCTGCACTGCAATCCCAGAGGCATGCAGTTCAAATCCACCAGATGCTCTGCTGGAGAAGGAGGGGCAATCTCCTCCTCCTGTAACAGTCAGATTTGACAGTATACACACACAAAAGAAAAAGTAAAAAAAATTTTTTTTTAAAAAAGAGATAACAAAGAAATCAAAACTCATTGCCACTGAGTCAGAATTGACTCATAGCTAACCTATTGTGCTTTTATTTCTGAACTCTATTTTGCTCCATTGATTTACATGCCTAACTTTATACTACTGATGTTGGTAGGTACTAGTGAGTTGAGTATGACTCCTAACTACCCTGGAAAACAGAAACTTTGCCCTATTTTGTGCCATTTTCACAATCTCTGCCATGCCAGTACTATGCTGTCATAATTACTATGTCTTTGTAATAAATCTTGAAGTGAGAAACAGGATTCCTCCAAGACTGTTCTTTTTCAATATTGTTTTGGCTATTCTAAGTCTTTTGCATTTTCATTAATAGTTTAGAATTGTTGAGAAAAATAAATTGCAGCTGAGAGATTTTGTAAAATCTATACTCACTAAAATTCAGTGCTCCAATTCATGTTTCTGTTACATAAATGATCCAAAGATATATTGATTCCTGAATTTTTTATTTCTTCATAACAGACTGGGATCTGATAATTTAAAAGTGTGGTGGCACCAAACTTAAAATTTTTATATATCCAGTTGTTTTAAATAAAACCCCAAAATAAAATCTGTAGTTATTTAGAGCTTCCCTACTTCCATATCCTATGAAACTACACCAAACATCAACTAGCCATGTTGTTGTTAGGTGCCATCGAGTGGAGTACGATTCTTAGTGACCCTATGAACAAAAGATCTTAACCTGTTCTATCCTGTGCCATCCTCACACTTCCCAACACACAGAGCCCATGTGGCAGACACCGTGTCAATCCATCTGGTTGAGGGTCTTCCTCTCCTTTATTGACCCTCAACCCTTCCCAGCATCATTTCCTTCTCCAAGGAATAGCCCTTCCTAGCAACAAGCCCAAAGTATGTGAAGCAAAGCCACATCATTCTTGCCTCCAAAGAGCACTCTGGCTGCACCCTCTTCAAGACATATCTGTTCGTTCTTTTGACCATCTATGGGATGTTCAGTGCTCTGATCCAACACCACACCTCAAACGCATCAACTCTTTTTCTGTCATCCTTATTCATTGTCCAGCTATCAGATGCAAAGTAAATGATCCGAAAGACTATGGCCTGAATCAGATGCAATTTAGTCATCATTGTTGTTGTTATATGCCATCAAGTTGTTTGCGACTCACAGCGACCCTATGTACAAGAGCCCTAAACGCCGTTCTATCCTGTGCCAACCTCGCTGTCTCAAACACATTCATTCCCACCACAGAATCGATCCATCTCATTGAGAGTCTTCCTCTCCTGCGCCATTCCTCCACTCTCCCAAACATGAGGTCCCTCTCCAAGGATCAGTCCCTCCTTCCAACATGCCCAAAGTATGTCAGACGAAGCCTCAGAATCCTTGACTCCAGGGAACATTCTGGCTTCACCCTCTCCAGGACAAACCTGTTTGTTCTCCTAGCAGTCTATGGTATATTCAATACTCTTCTCCAGCACCACAACTCAAAGGCATCAATTCTCTATCATCCCTATTCACTGTCCAATTCTCTGGTGCATAGCACGTAATTGCAAAGACTAAAACCTGAAACAGGTGCACCTTAGTCTCCACCCTGACATCGTTGCACTTCAGTACTCTTTAGAGGTCCCTCACAGCTGACTTTCCCAATGCAATTCGTCTCTTGATTTCCTGGCTGCTGTTACCAAGAGTGTTGACCGTGGAGCCAAGTAAACTAAAACTGTTAACTATCTCAATCTCTTCACCATCCATACTGATG